TTGCATACTTTCAATTTCAAACATTCTTTTTTTAAATAGTGTAAATGTAAGTTTATATTTCTATTCAATTTACAGTAAAAAATAAAGTAAAAAAATAGAAACCAATTGTATTTTATTGCAGGATGTCTTAAATCTGCAGACGATATTGTATAAATAGTTCAAACACTTTCTGTTACACTTGTGATCATTATGTCACTAAAAGACAGAAGAAAAAAATGAAATCAAAATGCTTACTAAATCTTAATGCTTATTTTGGATATATGGTGGGAAATCATGGAAAAAAATGGGCGCCTCTGTATAATTGCACCAACTGCTACATTTTTTTCTAAATGGCTGGATGAAAATAGACTAACTGTCATGCCATTTGCCATTCCTATGATATGGAAGGAGCCACGAGATCATACCACCAACTGCTATTTTTGTTCAACGAAAATTGAGGGACATTCTCTAAAGACAAAGGATAAAATAACGTATCCAATTTGTGAATCAGCAAAGTTGCGAGTACCTCACAGTGACAGTCTGTCTATTTCAACTCCACCAAGTGTATTCAACCTCTTGCCCTCTTCAGATCAGACAAATCAAATAAAGAAAATGATGATGATGGCTTTATGTCTGAAACGGAATCAGTTCCACATTTTATTAACCAGCAGGAGCTAAGCAATTTAATCAGAGACTTACATCTATCAAAATCACACGCTGAGGTTCCAGGTTCTCGACTAAAAGAGTGACATTTGTTAACACCTGACACCAGAGTGACCATTTACCGAAATAGAGATGAAAGATACTCAAAATATTTCAGCAAACAAAATAGTATCACTTTTTGTACAAATATTGAAGGATTATTAACTGAACTTGGATGTGTCTATTCCTCTAATCAATGGCGTCTCTTTATCAACTCCTCAAAGTACTCTCTAAAGGCAGTATTAATTCATATTGGAATAATCTTCCATTCCAATAGCTCATGCAGTGGGACTCCAGGAAGCTTACGGCATAATGAAAACTGTACTTAATTGTGTTAGCTATGCCAATCACAAGTGGATTATTTGTAGTGACCTTAAAGTAATTGCCCTGTTGCTTGGACTGCAATTGGGTTTCACTAAGTATATGTGTTTCCTCTGCCTCTGGGATAGCCGAGACACTAAAAATCATTATGTGAAGAAGATATGACCCAAACATACAGAATATATAGCCTAGGATACCATAACGTTCCACAACACATTCCACTTGTTGAATGGCTGAAAATTGTGCTTCCTCCTTTGCATATCAAATTGGGTTTGGTAAAATGTTTCATAAAAGCAATGAATAAAAATGGTGCTGGCTTCAAGTTCAAATAAAGTTCTCTCGAATCATTCTTTATTCAAAGATTAAAGGTGTGTTTGATGGGCCTCAAATAAAAGAGCTCCTGAAAGATAGGAAATTTAAGGAAACTTTTACACCAGCTGAATGCAATGCTTGGCAGTCATTTAAAGCTGTGGTTTATAACTTCCTGGAAAACAACAAGGCAGATGGTTTCAAGAATCTGGTAGAAAGTCTTGTGAAGCATTATTAAGAACTGGGTTGTCGAATGTCGTTAAAGCTACATTTCTAATATTCTCATCTTGACTTTTTCCCAGAAAATTTAGGTGCAGTTTCAGACAAACATGGTAAAAGCTTTCATCAGGAGATTTGGACATGGAGAAGAGGTATCAAGGCAAATGGAATGAAACTATAATGGCCAATTATTGTTGGTTTTTAAAAAGAGACACTCAAGAGACTCATAAACAACAGTTTATGAGTCACTCATCATTTCTAAACACTTGTAACCATATCTTATTCATGTTATGTTTTATATTTCTTTATACGAAAAGCAGCATTTACACTAAAAGTGTTTTTCGAATATTCCAAAACATTAGGGCATATAGGATAAAAACTAATTTGATTTTTGGATTAAGCATGCTTGAATTAAATAGAGACATAGTTATTATCAGCTGAAAAAAAACTTAGTTTACCAGTGCATATATAAATAAACTTATTATTATCTACAACTAAAACTTTAATTAGCTCATCAAAGCTATATTAACTCATTCTTTTTTTTTTTTTAATTTAGAAATTTTAATGATCTATTTCACCATGGTATTTGTTAAACAATTAAGAATATATAATGTACACAACTATTTTAATTTTAAAATGCCCTTAATAATTTGTTTACATATTCCATTTGTGACTTAAACTTTGAAAGTGTTACTTTTTAAAAAAATATTGCACAACAAAAATTAATAGAAACAAAAACTAATGTATTTACATATGTGATTGTTTTTCAGATGTAATTACTTCTGGAAAAAAAAGTTAACCAATAATGCATTATTTTAACCAGATGTAGTTACATATAGGATTTTTTTCGGATGAAATTACATCTGGAAAAAATATTAACTCATAATGCATTATTTTAACCAGATGGAATTTTTTCAGATGTAACTATATCTGGAGAATATTCTTCCAGATGTTATTGGAGAAAAGTTACATCTTCCTAAAGATGTTATACATGATCGTTGAATTTTCAGATGATATTGCACAGATGTTGTTAGAGTAAAAAAAAAAATACAGATTATCTTGGACAAAAGTGTATAGATGATATTAGACTGGAGATGTTGTTGGACAGGCGTAGTAATCTTTTACCTGTTGTTGTACTCTTTATAGGAAAATGTTTTAGTATCTTCAATAGCATATTATTTATTGGGCTTTCCCTAGCAAAAGGCTTATATGAATTTTTTTTTTTAGTTTTGGAATAAAAAAATAATGCTAGGTTTAATATCCATTAAATTGAAAAAAGAAAGGTTTAAAAATAATTTTAGAAATTTTTTTAGAATTTTTTCAGTTTTAAAATCTTATATTTAAAATCTTAAATATATATAATAGAATCTTAAATCTTATAGATTATTTAATTTTTTTAGAATTTTTTCTTATTTTGTTTTGTGGTTATTTTTGTTATTTAGAAGAATTCAAAACACAAGGATATTACTGGAAGACTTCAAAACATAAAGATATTACTTAGTTAGTATTGCGTGGCTTCTATCTTCTCAATTGATACATAAATGATTTTTTAAAGACAGTTCTGCTTTATATGTGTTATTGTTATTTAATACATGGCAATAATCCAAAAATTATTTTGCATAATGGTTTATGGATCGTTGACATGTTGATGTGAAAGTTTCAATCTTCAATTTTGGAGAAAGATTCGTCTTAAATCAAAAGGTTATAATATGCTTGGCTATTTAGTTCAACAATTTTCAATGCTGATGATTGAGTGGTAAAAAACTTATTTATATTTAACAAAATTGCTCGCTCTTGTTAAGAAATATGTTATAAATTATTTTTTTGATGAACTAACTAAAGTAGTTTTATATATGCATTTGTATTACTTAGCTTGAATATTTAATTATTTTTATTACAGATTGATTAGTAATAATCTTTATTATTTTATTTATTTGATGTTCTGTATACTGCTATGCAGTATTTAAACCACGTTAGTAATAAATAGTTTTTAATACATAAATTACTGCCGTCTATAGGGTAATTTTATTAGAGTTTATTTCTTTGAGAATTTTATATAAATATTTTGTTTATTCTATGTTGTATAATCGTCATTGTCTTTGTTACTATCAAAAGAGATTGGTTGCAGGAAAAGTCTAACAGTATAGTAGATTGAGTTAACATGCGTATCATCCCAACTAGCACAATACGTTGGGTCACCGTTGTTTTGCAAGTATACTACGTTAACCCAACGTGGTGTGCTAGCTGGAATCCCTAGAACACGTTTCAAAGAACTTTTTTTGCGAGAAACCTAATAATATTGTTTTTAAATATCTTGTCAAATTTTAAACAAATTGGGTTTAATGAATTTAAACGACTTGAAAAAAAAAAGAGAGAAAACAAAATGTAAAGTTTTGAATCAAAATTTTTTTTTGGAACAGCTTCTAGATTTCAACTTTTGTACACGTGTGAAAGAATAGCTTGAATAACTTAGATGAGGTCGATAGGACATTTTTTAACGTTCCGATTTTCAGTTTTCAGTATGAATTTAAACCGAAATTTTGCTTTTTTACCGAATTTTATAAAAGGTAACAAAACCGAAACTTCGGTATCGGTTCAAATTGAAATTTCGGTTGAAACAGAATTTCGGTCGATCACTACTCAATTAGATTCACATTTAGTTACTCTGACAAAAGACTGCCTATTTTTAAAATTTCGTCTGGGTTTTACAAAAAAGCGAGACCAGGATTTGCTCACTAGAAAAAAGTGTCGACCGTACCGGTCTAACTAAAGTTTTTTAAAATGAGTCAAAATCTTTTTAAAAAAGTATTAATTGCATCTTTTAAACAAAAGGTTTAAAAGATGCATCTAATACTATAATTAAAAGCAATGAAAACTTTTTCTCTATGCCTGCGATTAGATAGTTAAGGTAATAATGGATATCCATTTATTCTTGTCATAAAAAGAACTATCGAATTATAAAAGGGATCGTCCATAAAAACAAAACAAAAAAGGTAAAAAGTTTTCGCTTGCAGAGCCTTAAGTTAAATAAAAAATCGAAACAACGCATAAGTATAATGAAAATCGCCGTGTAAAAAAGCTAAAGATCTCCTTTTTAAATAAATTTAGTGTTATTTATGGACGATCCCTAATTGAAAGCATCGGTGTAAAAAAAAAAAAAAAACCTAGTTTCTATCAACTTTAATGGATTATTAGTATACAAAAAAAGTTCTATCAGTTAGTATAAAAATGACATAGATTAAAGCACTTCTTGTGTCATTAAACACATGATTTGGTAGAAAAATACACATTCCCTACATATAAAATTATTCAGTTTTTTCTTTCTCCTAAATAATTTGCGAAAATAAAGTTACATCGTTTTTGCACCCAAGTCTTTAGTTGTTTGATAACTTCATTTTATTTCCTTAAATTTTTACCCCACAGTATTTCTTAAAAATTTCAGCAACAACAAAAAAAAAAATCAAATCAAATAAACGTTTTAAAATATATATTTTCGATAATTTTGAAAGAATTTTTATAAATTAAACTTCTTGTTCCTCCTCTTAAAGAAACGACTCTTCGAACAAATGACATCCTTTGTCCTCTTTTTATCCAGGCGCATGCTTTAGTGTATTTGCAATCACAATTTGACAGTCTTTTTTGGTGTAGTAATCGACTAAACAGTCTTAAACGTAAAATATTTTAAAAATAGTATTAAGTATTCAAAACTTTATGAGAAAAAAATTTAACAATAAAAATCATAATAATAAAAAAAGTCATAACAATAACCTTATAAGTGGCTCATAGGATAAGAAACACTAAAAATCAAAACTTCACTTTTTATTTTTTTAATCTTATTTAAAATTCATTCTAGATTCAGAAAATATATACATTTATGTATATTTCAAGTCAATATTTTATGTAAAATTCATTTTTTAGATGTACAGACTTTTAAGAATCTATAAGCAACAGCTTTTTTTTTTAACTAAAACTTTAGCCAACAAACCAGAGTTCAAAAATATGTGTTTCTGGTATAAAATGATATTACCCCGGAAGTTTCAATGGATTTAGCACACTTGATAAGCAATTAAAACTTATTAATTTTGTAAATAGTATCCAGTATTAAAATGGTTAATTGTTCTTCTACTTTGCTACATAACTTTGGATGGTTCTTTAAGGATGATTAAAGTCAAAGCATTAGTTACAGCATTAGGATGCATATTAAAATTTTTACACTTGTTCAATTAAACTAGTTGGTTTCATTTTGCAATGACTTTTTATCAACTCATTTAAATAAACAAAATTTTCAGAAAAAGAAAATTATATATATAGATTTAATGTTTGGCATGCAGGAGTAGCTTATTTTAATAGTGTTTCTGTTAAATATTTTGTGTAGGTTGTGGTCTTTAGGAAAATGCTTGTCAATTAGGGTTAAAAAGCGTTGACCAAATTTGGTTGTAACATTTTTACTAAATGGAGGGTTGTACCAGATTATACTTCGTTTGTGGTAACAAATTTTTTTTTTAATTAGTGGTGTTTGACCAAATATATATATATATATATATATATATATATATATATATATATATATATATATATATATATATATATATATATATATATATGTATATATATATATATATATATATATATATATATATATATATATATATATATATATATATATATATATATATATATATATATATATATATATATATATATATATATATATATATATATATATATATATACTTGAATATAGAATAAACAACTTTTAATGGAACTTAAAGTTTCATGCCTATCGGCAATCATCAGCCATGAAGTACAAAATCAAAAATATAAAAAACTCATGTTTTACGCATGTTTTATAAATGTTTTTTAATAAAACAAAAACAAAAACACCACTAATTAAAAAAAAAATTTGTTACCACAAACGAAGTATAATCTGGTACAACCCTCCATTTAGTAAAAATGTTACAACCAAATTTGGTCAACGCTTTTTAACCCTAATTGACAAGCATTTTCCTAAAGACCACAACCTACACAAAATATTTAACAGAAACACTATTAAAATAAGCTACTCCTGCATGCCAAACATTAAATCTATCATCAACTCACACAACAAAAATTTTATATGGTGATGTAAAGTTATCAGAAAAAACCTGCAATTGCATTAAAAAATCTCTTTGTCCACTGAACAACAATTGCTTGTCTAACAACATTGTTTACCAAGCCACCGTAAGCTCAAATAAACCTCAATACAAAGATAAGGTATACATTGGGATAAGCAAAACCTCTTTTAAACTACGTTATGCAAACCATCTAAAATCCTTCAACATAAAAAAGTACAAGAACGACGCTGAGTTATCTAAGGAAGTATGGGATTTAAAAGATAACAATTTTACATCTTCAATCAAATGGAATATAATTAAACGCTGTAAATCATACAATCCTGCGTCAAAAATTTGTAAGCTTTGTTTAAAATTTGAAATATTATTTTACAAAGGAGATAATCTGCTAAATAAAAGAGGCGAAGTAGTTTCGAAATGTAGACATAAAAATAAATTTCTTCTTTCATTATTTGATAGCGGAGATTGGTTTTCCATTACGTCTTCATGTACTAAGACGTCAGAACTCATTCTACTGTAGTTTGTAATTTTTAGACGGTTTTTCATATTTTTGATTTTGTACTTCATGGCTTATGATTGCCGATAGGCATGAAACTTTAAGTTCCATTAAAAGTTGTTTTTTCTATATTTAAGTATAAAACGCTCTGTTTTTAAAAAACTAAATATTTCTAAAATATTGAGCACTCTAAAACGATCAAGAGTTTAGTATTTTTAATACTAAATCATACAACAACAATATATATATATATATATATATATATATATATATATATATATATATATATATATATATATATATATATATATATATATATATATATATATATATATATATATATATATATATATATATATATATATATATATATATATATATATATATATACAAACACACTAAGGGTAAAAAAAAATATAACTTTTTTGCCATTTGCCTGTCACTTACAAGTTTTGCAGCCTAGAAAATAGTTAAAAGCCTTCTAGCACTAGTGGTAAACTTAAATGCAACTAAATGTATAATATGCAAGAGGGGTATAGGGAAAGTATCGAAAAAAGGAAAAATTATGTATTACTTGAACACGCTTTAACTCGATACTAACTATTAAATCAAATCATTAAATAAAATAATAAATAAAGTTATAATAATTATAACTTACTAACTAAATACTAACTTATAATAATTATCTTGAAATTAAACTTAAAATTAACTTAAAACTAGCATTGTTATATATACACTTTTGATATATGAATGAAGAATGACCTGTAGCATAGTTTTTAAAGCCTTGCGTGAGCTGCTTGTACAAAATTAATTTAGTAATAAGAAACACTCTGGAAAAGAGTCTGGAAACACAACCTGTTATCAATAGATTTTTAACTTTTATGTCAAAAATCTACTTTGCATTAAGGTAATTAAGCTAATATGGAAAGGCAATTATTTTAAAGTTTGCTCTGACTATTAATTTACACAAGATATAAACTGTCAACAGATTGATTGTTTTATGTAATGAAGATAATGAACATTTTTAAAAACATGGTTGTAACTGAAAAATCAGTATTTACAAATTGATTTTATTTTCACAAGAAAGAGACAAATTCAAAGTCAAGGCTTGACTTTAAACTTTTCTATTTCTGTCAAATCAATCTGTTGACAGTTTATATTTTGTGTTAATAAATGGTCATAGAGTAGACATACAATAACTTATGTATTATTATTTTTTTGTACCCAAAAATGTTGCCCTTTGACTCAAGTCAAGCTTGTTGTCACAGGTTGGCATTTTAAAACAAGAATTTGTGCAATTGAAAAAAAGTTAGAATTACATCCACTGGAGACTTCAAGACATTTCACAACAATGGAACGAAGAAATACATATGCAATATTGATTAAAGAAAGCTTAAAAAACTTTTAAAAGAGAAACTTTTTTATCTGAAAAATGTTTTCACAGGCAGTGGAAACATTTTAGAGATTATTTCGAAACTAGTTTCGAAATAATCTCTAAAATGTATATATGCTCGACTAAAATGTATATATGCTCGACTGAAAATTCAGCCTCTCTAAACCATTATAAATTGCTTCTGCGGCTGAAAATTAACGCATGCGCATATTATACGCTTTCTTTTGTTTTGATTTTAAGTTTTGGTTTTTTTTGTCGACTTGATGAGTTATAAAGACATAAAAATAGTAATATGTTACAATTTTGTTAATTATAATAAGACGAATTTGAAGTTAAGAATGAGTTTAACATAGTTAAGCTTTCAATTCAGTTTTTATGTGAGGAACAACAATAGTTTAGTAACTATATGTAACTTTACTAAACTTTAGTACTTTATTAATTGCCAGAACTTTTTTGTCCAAACACTTTTACAAAGCTGTGTTAAGTATTTATTTATTTTTATGGCAAAAAAATATAATTTTAAAACATTGATAATTTTTTACTTTAACCTATATTGATAATAGCATTTCAGAAAAAATTTATTTAAAACATTTCAGAAATAATTTCATTACACTGTAATTTCTGTAATTTACAGAGATTATTTCAAATAGTTAACTATTTGAAATAATCTAATAAACTATTTAAAATAATAAATTAATTATTTGATGGTTTACACAATTAATTGAATGCTCTGTTGAACTGAATGCATATATTTTCAAAATAATTATAATTATTTTTTTTTTGCATATATTTTCAGAATAATTATAATTATTTTAATAACAAAATTTTGCATATATTTTCGGAATAATTACAGTTATTCTAAAAATATATATGCAAAATTTTGCATTCACTTCAACAGAGCATTTAAATGATTGTGTCAGCCATTAAATAAATAATAGAATCTGGTTAAGGGCAGGTTGAAAAATTCTTTTTTTTAAAAAAAAGAATGATCTTTATAAAATGAATTAGAGATTCAAAAAAAAAAAAAAAAACGTTTAGAAGGGGACAAAAATACCTAACATGCTACCTATAGACCTATTTAGTTTCAGGTAAAGATGTTGCATGTGGAATAATAACTTTTTTGTTATAGCCATTGAAACTTGTGTCGCGAAAGGAACTTATCGTTCCTTCCGTGACACAAGTTTTTAATGCTTATAACTAAAAATTTAGAATTCTACTAACAATCTCTTTTCTCAAAATTAAATAGATATTTATAAGTAATTTGTTAGGTATTTTTGCCCCCTTCTAAACGTTTTTATATATTTTTTTAATTTCCAATTTAGTTTACAAAGATCATTACTTTTGAAAAACACGACTTTTCAATCCTGCCTTTTTTAATCCTGATATTTAATAATGGGGGGTGATATCCCTTAAGGGATATCACCCCCCATTATTAAATATCAACAATAGAAATAAAGTTTTGAAATAATCTAACAAACATTCTAATAAAAACAGAAATTTAAAAAAAAAAAAAAAAATCGGTCAGCGGGTATTGCATATACCCCAAAAAAAACTCTAAAAATAAGCAGAAAATAGGATATGCGCCGGCCAAGATTAGCAAAAACTAATAAGTTTTTGGTCTGAGGACTCTCCACTAAAGTTGATACCAGAAAAAAGATCATTTTATTAAAATATAAATTAGCCATACTGGTTTTTTACTTGATTTATTAAATTCTGTTCCACTTAAAACACAGCTCTTATTGAAATGATGAGCTGGAAATTTCTGACAAAAAGCCCAAGTGGATCTCTTGTAATTGCGGCCCGCATATTAAAAAACCTTGAACTGATAAAACACGCAAAAAGTAAAAAAAA